TTGGTTCAAAAACCTAACTGCAATTCAGCGGGGTTTTGGCACTGGACTACAGAAAGCCCGATTTATGGAGTAAGGAGCCACACACTTTAATCCCCAACCTGGAGGGCCAGGAGACTGAGTTGGCCTGGCCTCTAACCATTGACCAATCTGGTACGAGTTGCTTTGAAGATGTAAAGCACTACCCAGCATAGCCCTTTGAATCGCTGAAGCAAACCCTCGCACTACGTTAAGGTCCAGTGTCGTAAAATTGTGCATCATAATGGTGCTACTTTAGTCTATTCACAGTAGTAGTTTTTTAAAAGGTTGAAAATGCACCCAAAGGTACACAAATCTTATACTGGCTTGACTGGCGAAGATTTGCAAAGTCCGGGTGGGTTACCTAGCAAGTTCCGTGACATTTTGTCACGTGATCGACCGATGGTCTTGTGGGTCAGAAGCATCTTGAATGCATTGACTTAATGCTGTTTACTAAACAAATCATCTGGGTCAGTTTAACAACCCCATCGGCAATGTTGCTGGGTAACAATTTCATATCGAAAATTGACCGACAGTTTTTGGAATCAGTAACTATTTTATTACGTAACTGTTATACTGTATCATCGCGTCAATTAATCGACCTTTATGAGAACTGCCATACATAACTTTTCGAAACTGACGTATCAATCACAACCAGTGTGCGTTCGGTTGATAACGGTGAGCGAGAAAACCTGGAGCCAATGGCAACACAGGTGGCAGGCACAACTAACATCCCAATGGTCCCGGGTTCAATGCCTGCTAACTCTATCGGATGAGATGTAATAACATCGAAACGCGTCATAGTAGTGCAGTGTTTTCGGGCGGATAACACCCAATTCCCATCGGCTTCATCTACGGTCCTCGTGATCGAAAGATCGAGGTTCACCAATGGGAATCGCGGTCAACATTTAAATTGCGTGTCGCAATCCATCCACACAACGTGTACTTCAAAATGATCCTCAACAAGTGTATTTGTTTAAAAAACGCTGACGATGCATACGAGACTAGATGTCAAGCTGTAGAGATGGAAAATGAAAAAGCTGATGAGCAGGACAGACTTGAATTTACAAAAATCTCTCAGAGTTAAGTGATTATAATCAGCACAATGTGGTTAAGAGAAGTGTTGCGATGCAAAAGATCAGCTCTAAATAGATAAGCGTAGCGAAGGGTAACAGTAAAGCGGAGTGGCCGATAGAACGATGAGATGCGGGTCTTCGCTAGACAAAAAAGCCTAAAAACAGACACCGGTTTGAGTACTGGCGCAGTCAAATGACCGATTAGAAAAGGTGTCTGTCTTGTATTCCGCAAGTTATCGGTTCGAATCTGTGTAGATGCGGGTGACTGGTGGTGGTCGCGTGGCAGCAAAGCATCAGTACGGTGTATTGGTGGTGACCTTTCTCTTCGTTATGCAACAGGGTTAAATCGCGTATCTAATTGATGATAAAAACATTCGTCTCAATCTATGGCACTGCGAATTACCACTCCAGTGAACGTTTGCGGAATGATGTCCAAAGAAGGGTAGTGTAATGAATGAGAAAAATAAGTGATTTGCGGGCTGTAGGGAAAGGAGCACTAACTGAGAGCATAGGAGGAGTGGGGAACAAGTGTCATGCGACGAAAAATGCCATCCACGTTGGTATCGGTTTTGCACACTGTAACTAGCCTGAACGAAGAGTATTTATGTTGGTTCCCCAGGTGAGTTAGGTAGTTGAACCAGGGCAAGTGAGAAAATCACAAAAGTTCAAGATTTAAAGCCGAAACCAACAATTTTTCTATCAATACCCTATAAGGATCCGTCATGTGTGATTCAACAGCAGTCATCAGCTAATCGGAATGGTGTGGCAGCATTTTTCTAAAACACTGAAGGACAGATAAGTTAACCAAGCAGTTGCATTAGGTAGATTTCTGTTGAGGTCCCTCCTAACATCACATGGTTACAGACAATTGGCCACTGTATGAGGCTAAGAAAGCGGCGGCAAGACATTCTCTTTGAGGCCCTTACTATCATAATTAACCTGCTCCATCAGTCAATTCAATGAACCTTTAACAGACGGTTCGACTAGCGGACGATCTAAAACGCGCAACTGGTGTTGGTGGGAAACCGTGCTCAGCAGTGCGTCTAGCCAGGTACTGGGTGCAGCGCAGACTTTAGCCTGAGACTAGATGGACCAGTACCGTTCAATCGAGTGGCCAACAACTTCACTTCTTGCCACCACGTCAACTTCCACCTCGCTCTCTCGAGTCTTGCGCTGTTCCATATCTGCTCAACTGAACAAAACCTTCTTCAGTAAGTTGAGTGGGTTTATACGCAGCTGGTGTCCCAATCAACGCGACTTATTCAGCTGCATATGGTAGTCTAGTGAAGTAGCCCATTCACTGCCGCTGAGTGCTTGTTTGCGTCGCATCGTTTCAGGCCCGATGACACCAGTCGATACAAGTAAGGCCGTGTGAGAAACGACAGATAAAGAGCTAGTGACGACATCGGACCGAAGCACCCAAGCTTCACTGCCACAAACACACACACCGCGTATCTCGCAGAATTTAGGAATGAATCGCAAATCACCGGGCTAAGAAACATCGGACACAATGAGGGCCAGTCCCAACGCTGCCACTGCTATGGCTACCACTACCATCATAATCAGCAACAACAGCAACGAGGGACTACAACAGTCCTATTCAAGTACCATCGTGCAATCATAAACACTGAGGTGAATCCATAAAAGTGTACAGAAGTGAGACCTGGCATGATATCTAAATACCATAAGTAAGCATACATGAGAAGAGCACACAACGCTTGCAACCACCGCAGGTCTACAGACAGTTAAAACGAAGACCGGAAGTGACCGACAACTTAGTCGAATGATGTGGAAAGATGAGGATGGACGCCCAGATGAAAACAGGAGGCGGACAAGCTGCTAAGCTAGGGAGCTTGTCAAAATACTGCATCGTAGAACCAGTGACCGCTCTCCTCTGATTACCGAAATTTTAATGGTGAGAGTCACATACTCTATGACCCAGCTGAAATATGTGAAGCATTCAGCGACTTTTTGCCACTACCATGAGTCGCGAAGCTGACCCGGTGCCTGTGTGCACAGAGTTCATAGTAACAAACCTCTTAAGCAGAGTCGATATCTCGCTCAACGCTATTTACCAAGTTATCAAATCAATCAGGCCATCTTCCAAGTTGGGATGGGATGACATTTTACCAACCATCATTAAACTAGGAGGAGCTGATATACCATTGCTACTGATGAGCATGTTCACTCTATCGTTGGAATCTGGCCACTTTCCAGACCAATGGAAAACGTCAGTTATTATGCCTCAGCATAAAGATCCCAAACAAACGATTGATAACTACCGACCAATCAATCCACCACACTACGATAATCGCTCGGCTATTTGAAAAGCTGGTCAGAATGGAGATGATGAACTTTGTTGATTCTACTGGCCTGATTAACAATTCGCAGCATGGGTTTCTCTATAAGTGATCGTGCACCCCCTGTCAACTGCAGTCCTTTAATCACATTTCAGAATTAATCGACTCCGGCTATGTAGTAGTAAACTTGTTGCTTCACATACACCAAGTGTTCGATCGGGTACCGCACAAGCGACTGTTACAAAAGTTGGAGAACTTTGGGATCCGGGACCCATCACTAGGTTGGTTATCGTCATACCTGAGTGATCATCATCAGGTAGTCACTTTAGGTGTTTATCGTTCATCCCCACGCTCAATCACCAGTGCAGTCATTCAAGCGAGCGTGCTCCGCCCCTTACACATTTCGCTCTACATCAATGACATCACCACATCTGTAAAACATGGTACAACATTTTTATTTGCTGAGGATATCAAACTAGTCTATAAGTTTCGGCGTGATGAGCTTCACGGGACATTACTGCTCATTCAAGATGATTTACATTCCCTTGAGTCATGGTGCTGCACATGGGTAATGAACCCCTCGGCTAAGAAATCAAGCATCATATATTCCGGCTGCTGCATCTCCGATGGGTCTATCACCCTAAACAATTAACGCGTCCCTACACAGTTGACCACGCGAGACCTTGGCATTAGGTACTCGTCTAGCTTCAATTTCTCCGAACAGGCCCAATACCAAGGAGTAAGTGCCAGACAGTCTGCGTTCAATATATCAAACAAAATACACACAATTCGTGCTAGAGTTGAGCTTTTCAAGCTACTCACTCGCCCCATTCTCGAATACTGCAGCATAATATACGGAAATATGAGAAAGAGTGACAGAATTACTGTGGATAACCTGCAGAGGTCATTTACTAAACATCTGATTGGTAAACACTCTATTGTGAGTTGTCGAGATCGTTTCAGTGAACTTCATCTCGGACCACTTTGGATTCGACGACTGAAACACAACTTGTTGATGGTTTACAACATGTTACACAAAAGGACACATTCCAACCTGCCTACACTCAATTTACAACATTGTTCAACTCGAGCGATTCGCAACAAAAATTTTACATTGAATATGCCGAAGGCTAGAACGAACGTCCGCTTCAATTTCTTCCTGGTCAGATACAGCTGTCTGTGGAATAAACTACCAATAACACACAGGTCATGTGACAATGTGGCAACATTTAATAGCAGACTCGCAAATTACCTTGATCTAACTACCCTAAGCTCTATATTCACATGGGAAAAATCCCTCGATGAGCTATTCCAAGAGGGGTCCAAAAACATATGAACATCAAGGTTTTCATAACTAGGCTTTGGCCTCAAACATTCGCCAGAATATTAATACATGGAACGCATATCCCAATACTCCATCTATGCATGTCACCCATGCAAGAGCATGGATTCTTCTGTGCAAATTGATCTGTTCCGATATAGCCACAGATTCTCAGAAAGAGAAATATACCTATTATTATTATTATTATTATTATTATTATTATCAGCATCATCATCATCATCAAATGGATTACCGCAGAAATCATGTGGGGCAAGCAAACTGACGTACTCTGGAGGGCTGAGTTCGGAAACTCTGACTGAGGGTGCAGTATCCAGTTTTGAGGAGCGAAGGTCGCTCGGGACCACGTCGGTTAAGACGATCACCAGAACTTGTGCGTATAGAAGCGAGCCCAAGTCGGCCGGTGCTGACCGGACGGTTCGTAAAAGCTGAAGACGAGTGCGGAGTGGAGGTCGGGGCTACAACGGGGGTACGTTGGTTTTGTGGGTCATCCGGAGGCGTAAAGTGAGTCACCTGGTACGGCATTTCAATGGTGCTTAAGCTTGAAGAGCTCTGTGTGCCCCCAGGCGGCCGGTGGTACTTAGGTGAAGGCAAGACACTTTCCACTGCAGTCGTGGATGAGGGAACTAACGGAAGCATTGAAGCTGCCAGTGTAAACTGCTCAGAGGGCGGAGCCAATGTACGTTCCGGACCTTGTGGCTCTCCATTGAAAGCATCATTGTGATGAACTGCTGACCATCTGCCAGGTTCAGTTGTTCGACCGTACTTCACAGGTTCCGTATTATAAGATGGCTATGGGGGAGGAAGTTCAGACGATATCGATAAATTACATGTGCACAAGAGAACATGCAGCAATGCAGATGGGTGCCATAAGACAAATCAACATCCAACATCATTATTACACATTAACTCAAGAAGAAAACGCACAACTACTGGGCCGCAATATAGAAAGATAAGATAAAGATAAAAACGAGAAACAAAACAGTACAGAAAAAAAAGCAACATTATGCTTCAAAACGGAGGTGGTGGTAAAAGGAGGAGGATAAAGGAATATGGGGGATACACAAAAACACATCACCAAAACATCGACGTAGGCTTATCGCCATGTCAACAAGTGTATTCCACCAAACGTGTTCATCGTGTTTCGGACCCCAACCAGGGAGCCGAGAAACTCCAACCGACGCCAACTAGAACTAAGGGCCTACATTCCACTGGACCGATTCATCTTTTGGCCTCCCATCCAATTCCATCCATTTTGAGGGTGGAAGCAGAGCCCGAAACTGCTGACAGCTAGTGCAAAGCGGTCTACTGCTGTTTGATACGTTCGTAAATTGTCACAAATGAAAGTAATATCATTAGCATACTCACAGTCAAGAAGTCGTTCACATAGGAATAGCTCCACACCTTCTAAGTCTTGTCCTGTGAACGCGAACTCCATGACTTCGTCAACAGTGGAGTTGAAGAGGGAAGGTGACAGAAGGCATCTCTGTCCTACATCTAGGATGGCGACAGCTTACTTTAAGACCTCATTCTCTCGGGGCTACGCGCTTAAAGCCCCCAGAAAATATTTGCATATTTCTCAGGCACACCTTTCCTTAGCAGACAACAGTCCTAAAGAGTACAATGATTCACCATTGGTGCCGATGAACGCCACAATGGTGGGGCGCTAATAATTGTGCTGGTGCTCCAACAATTTAGGTAAAGTGAAGATGTGATCGATGCAGCTCAGACCTCGATGAAACCCGGCTATCCATTTAAGAATCCGACTTCCCCGAGTGCCAATCAATCAATCAAGGATGACGGAAGCAAGCAATTTGTAGGCGATAGAGATCACATTGATTCCTCTATGGTTGCCCCATTCCGAAAGTGAGCTTTTCTTGAAAATCGGGATAATAACAGAGCGGCTCCAGTCGGTTGGGACAGCTTCTTGCTCCAACAGTTTTCTAGTAAACCGTGAGCAGGCCCTTCGAACTTGAAGTGGGATGGGTGGAGACCATCTGGTCTCGCGGCTTCATTCAACTTCAGCAGTCTGATCCCACCTTCGACTTCTGAGCGAGAGGGCGGATCCAAAGGTACAGCAGAGGGAGGGATCACTGACCGGCGAGAATTCCAACGATCCCGTTAGATTAAGTTGAGTTTCCAAGTGCTCAGCCCGGTGCTCCTAGCATTTTGATAAGTTGTGGATTGACTGCCCCACTATCATCACATATAGTTTCACTAACACCAGTTTTTCTGTTGCCCGTTTCCCATATCAGACGGAATAACTTTTAGTGGTTACAAAAGGGAGTGGCCACTTCCCTCTGACGCACGATAAGGCTACCAGGATTCGCGGTCTCTCTTTAGGTCAGCAAGCGGTTTTTCTCTTAGGTATTTGCGAGTCTGTGTTCACCTCCATCCGGAAGTGCCGGCGAGCATCGATAAGTTCCAGAGACCGCGAAGAGACCCAATGTGCATGTTGGCTATTCAGTGTACCACGTGAGGATTTGGCTGATTTGCAACCAGTGATTTTCAACTGTGTTCGGTGAGCGCTTACTCAACACGAATGCTAGCGTACTTTGGTACGCATACAGAACCTCTGACTTCGCCAGCTAAAAAATATCTATGCGCACATCATCAACATCAACAGCAGTACATCAGCCATTTAAACTGATGCTTCGCTGCCGTACAACCACGGTGACCTACGGAACGAAGAACAAGAGGGAGAGAAGTGGGACCTAGCGTAAAACCTTAATGCCCTAAACAAACACTCAGGGTTAAGGCGTCTACACCTAGTCAACAACATACCGTCACAAACAGTCGGTTATTGTTTAAAGATAAGCTGGCATCGGCGAAACAGCTGCTTTGCGGCTTTCACTGAACCGCATCATAATCAGCCATTAGCCCGTAGATAGCATTAAACACACAGTCCGACTAGGAGACGAAAGTTCAACTGGAAACTGAGAGAACTTGCATCAAGCAACGACGTACCAGCAAGCGGCCAAATTTCTAACGATTCAGGCGAAAACTCTATTCCAACCACGTAACAAATCTTTCTGTACCAAGGTTACATCTGACCCACTATCCAGTAACGCGTAAGTTTCAATGGATCTCATAGCACCCAGTAGACGCACAGGTACTATGCCCAGTCGCATTTCCGTTCTTGAGCAAGAAGCAGTACGACAGCTGCTCGTCTTTAACATCGGGTCCTCATTGTGCTCCAGGTGCAGTAGCGGGTGATGATGACCCCTGCGATCCGAGTGATTACACCTGTCATCCGATGTGTAAGAGGCAGCCAAGTGACCACTACTGAGACAGCCTTACTTCTGTTTTATTAATTCCCATCTTTCAGGCACCCCGGAAGCTAGATATTCTCGGCACATCGCAGTACCATGTTGGCCACCACAAATAAGGCAAGCTGAATTCGGTTCCACTCTGAACTTAGCACAGTGGTTGATGCTAGCCTCATTACTTCTGCGTGCCTGGATAGGCGGACCTCGGGAACAAGACGGGCCTAACTCAGGCATAGATGCTATCTGTCCGAATCTACTGCGCATAATGCAGGCTTCAGAAGAGACGAACTTAGACAGGCTTTTGAACGTGATTTCTCTCCCTTCTTGCAGCATGGTATGGGCTGTGCGCGCCCATCTTGTTTTGATACTCGTACGCAAGATCCGTACAATTCTTTTCGACAGCTGCAATCGAATCTAGGTCAGCGAGAAATCCCATCTGGTTCAACGCTATGTGACAATACTCCATCTTTAGGGAGAGATGAAAACTAGCTTCGGCATCTTGGGCAAGCGGCCTTAGATCCGTTAGTAACCCATAAAAAGTGATCTGGCGACCACATGATTTTGAACAAATGCATCATGAAGGATCGTCCTAGCCTGGTACGGATGCAACATAACACGCTGATAGCTTCCTTCGCTCGATTTCGACAGTAGTACAACAAATATAGATGTCATTGTCCATTATCCTGATCTCGCTTCTCAACAAAGTACTCAAATTGCTTCATGAACTTAAAATACGTGGCAGGGCTACCATCAAAATATTCGTTCCATCCTGGGGAGGTCCAGTTGACAACCGACCCCAAAGGGCTGATCAGTGATGACAGGCAAGGGCTTGAAGTCATTTGGGGAAGTTTGGTATCCTTCGATAGTATTACTATGTTGTTCGCAGCATTCTTTTGAGTCATCACATGGTTCTAGCAAACGGTTAACAGACCCTGTCCTTCCCAGCAGTAAACGACTATAACGCTCCACTTCCACTTTAGCTATCAACTGTGATTTCTTCCATTCCGCTAGTTTCGATGCAATATTCGAGGCATCGGAGTCCATCCTAACTTTCTACTGATCCTAGGCCTACTACTAACCGCAAAACAAGAGTGGGAACTAAGACCATCTGCGGCAACAATAAAGTTGTTAACTTGCTGATTTTCATCAAACTTCCCGGCGGTCTTTCGTGCTGACCTTCTTGACGGCATCGTCCAAGCTCCAAATATAGGACAAGTAATCCTGGAATGTTGAGCACCGTTATCGATAAATCGGCGCTGGATTCAAGCAACGCGCAAGACTCTCAGGTCAATACAGAATTTAAGGCCAGAAGTGCACTGCGGTGCTATTTTTACAAAGGGTTATGGCAACAAAGGAAATACTGACCACGACAATTTCCACCACAAAATGTACAATAGCTCTGTTTTCAAACTAAAACCGGACGTCAAACCAGACCAAGTGTCGGCAACAGCTAACTGAAGTCCAGTCAGCTGCACAACCGACTAAGCAATTCAATCAGACGCGATTTAAAGCAAAACGATCGATAGTCCAAACAATCAAGCCGTAAAAATGTCAGCGGATGAGAATACGGGGCGGTGAAAGAAAAGAATTAGGGACGAGACGTGTGACATGCTTCGGTGGAATCCGACAAACTGTGATCTGTCCGTTATAGAAGGTTAGTAATGGAAGTCGGGATGGGATTAAGAGATGTAAGTGGAAAGGAAAAAGATGGAGTTGCCAACAGTAGCATGTGTTCGCTTATCCGCCCTGCTGTACACAGTAGATAAGCGCGAGCTCTGATAAGTAGCTCGACAGTTTCGTTGTAGACGTTTCCACAACAATCGAGGTGGATATTTCAGTTCGGAGAACAGAAAAGAAGCTGAACAGACAACCCGAGCTACAAAGTATTCTGATTTATGACTAAGCTGCGCGACAGTCGATGCAGGATTGAGGAAATATTCATGATTGTACGTGGGCTAAGATACTGCCAAGGTGCCAAGACCTAGACAGAACGATGATTAGGGTCCACAACCAAAGCCTTTGGCTCAGAATTCTGTCCGCGAAGCAGCGCAGGCGGCAACGATTCGATTGCTAAGAAATGGACGCCATCCCATTTCAAACCCCCAACCTGGAGGACTAGGAGACTGAGTTTGTCTGACCACTAAGCATTGATCAACCTGGCAGGAGTAGCTCTCAAGGGGCCCGGGGCACCACCTACTATAGCTCAACGGGTCGACGAGGTATGCAAACCGTCAAACCACGTGAAGGTCCTGTCAGGTTGCGACAGATATATGCGCTCAGAGTGCCGTTGCGGATGTCCGCCGAAACGCATCCGCAGGTTAGCGAATACAAGTGCATTATCAGAGTTTAGGTTCGTGCCCGAAATCAAGCGTCAATTTGGGACATATTCGCTCCGTCGGTGACTGATTGAAATGTGACTGATTTGCGGCTAAGGCTGGCGAGCGCCGTGTCAGAGATTGATGCTCGAAAGAAATAAGTGAGCATCCTCACACAAATGAAGTGACCACTTACACCTCCATCATCTGCAGACGTGATGTTGTCCAAATATCTAGGAAAAGTGGATACATGGTGGCAAAACAATTCCTAAATCCATATGACTTGAATAATGTCAAGGGAAGTGGTAGAAGTTTAATGAGGAGGGGATCAAACCCATAATTTTCAACTACTGTGCTTTGGCTGTTGAAAGGTGGTACAGATGAAAGATATCAGACGAAAGGGACTTTCTAACTTTGTAATATTCAGTTTCAAAGAGGAATAAAACCGGTAGTGTTTGATTAAGATTTTGGGCGGAAGTCATTCCAGATAGGGTGAGACTAACAGGGAGGTAGACGAACGGAGAAAACCTTCTTTAAATAATAGAGAGGCGGTTGCCCCGGCGCATAACATTTGCGCCACCAATCCACATTGGCAATTATGATCTACGCAGCAAAATGTGCGGTGGATCCTAACCAATGTGAAAAGAACAAAAAAATAGTAAGCGGATTTGTAAAAATATTTGAGCCAGAAGCAAAAAATCTCAAAATCGCTGGATAGAAGTCAGGAGTGTTATGGACAGGAAAATGAATGTAGGGCTAACAAGGGGAATTAACGAATGCTTTAGGTCTAATTATTCATATGCACAATCCAGAGACAAGCAACGAGGAAAGCAACATGTACTGAGTGGACAAAGTGCTTTTAGCTCGCCGTTGGCTAGTCAGATCAAGTTTCACTCAGCTGTATGCAGTAGTTGTGAATAACGCACGATGAGACGGAAGTACGAAGTATATGAGGCAACCAATGTAAGTGGTTTAAGATCCTCTGCGAAAGCCAGATGGTCTGTTGTCAAACGCTAGCTGGTAGATGCCGGCCGAAGCCAAGCCAGTTGACGTGAAGAAGATTAGACGCACAGTGGCGATTAAACACAGCCAGTGCGTCGACAATTTCACCGTACGGTGGTCGTGTTAATGAATCTACTTCAAAAGTGTATGCCCCAATTTGACCAAAAGGCTAACGTCTCAACGTCATTAAAACAGACAGAAATTTAGTAGTCATATTGGTCTTGAGTGAGTGAGGACATGTGAAACGGACGCAAAAACAGATGGACGGAGTGGCTGTGCTGTGTCTCCGCTGAGAATATATATAGCCAATAGAGCTATTCGGACGAAGAAGTAGCCACTACCCAAAGCAGAAGAAAATTTGCTATCAGACCTTGCCACTGAATTCAGATCAATTTAACAACCATGACTTGGGCACCAAACTGTGGGGGATTCAGTTGTCATAACTCACGTCGCCAGAATAAGCATGAATAACAACGTTTCAGTTGTGCATTCGTCCACCGAGCTTCTTAAATTGGCTGCAGAATTTAAGCCAACCAATCGAGGTGATATCATCAATGCAGAGTTGGATGTAGCTTAGTCGCACAGACGGTGACACCTCGCATGGTGGCGAAACATATAAAATCCAATTACCAAGCGCGGTGAGTAAGTGTACAACAATTGACGAGACCCAGTTGGGGGAAACGCGTATGGTGCTTTTCCGGAATAGGCTGTGCAATGTAGTTTGTGAACTATTGGGATGAAGATCTTAAAACATTACAACTAAAATCCCGCTACTCACGAGTAATATAAAATAAATAGCCTCTCCTAGCTTCAAACGCTATGGATATAGCGTCTAGCGAGATGAGGTCATCACCTCGCAGGTTAGTCACTGTCAGTGTCAGTGGAATATAGGTGGTGGTATGTCTCAGTTAGCTTGCAGATTATGTAGCTCAGCCAACGTTCCCCATGGCCCAGTGGCTGAAGCTGGTTGCTAGTTGGCATCTGCTCTAGCGGTCATGGGTTCGATCCCCAGTAGGGGACCGAGAGAATGCGCAACACTGACGAGCCCCCGTAAGGCGAAACGCGTCTGGTGCGTTTTCGGACTAGGCTGTGCTATGTAGCCTGTGAACTACTGGGATGAAGACCTTAAAAAGTACAATCAAACCGCCAACTTGAGCTAGCCGTGTTGAGAAACAATTTAACATTGACAGGAAATAAAGCTGAAGACAAAAGGAATACAATAGAAAATGGAACCAAGAAAGAAGTGCATTAAACTAATCGGGATGGGATGAAAAGTAGTGGCTAGATGCAAGAAACCAAATGCAGGAACGCCAATGACTGCTTGACTGACTGATATGGCCTCCAACCATTGGTGTGAACCATCACGAGGCTCCCATCCACGAAGACGGCACGTATCTGTATGACTGTCTTTCAATCAAATTCCTTATGTTGCTACGCCACCTCATGGGCTGACCACCTCGAGGTCTTGCCCAACTTGGTGCAGCCACGGCGGAGAACGCACGCAGAGGAAGCCGATCAATGGGCCTCCGCAGGACACGGCTTGGCCAACGCAAGCGATTAAGATTCAGCAAATAATCGGATGAGGCACTAGAAGGATTCCTGCCAAAAGCCAACTGTCGAACCAGGACAATGCTCATCCGGTGGGCAATATTCCACAGGCACTGGTGATTAAACACGGTCAAGCGTTAAATATCTTCACTGTGAAGTGGCCATATAATGACACCTGCCATGTAGTAGCGTTATACGCCCAGCCTTTCGTTGAGAGATTGGTATCCCGCCACATCTATAGATGGTTAAGCCTCAGAAGTACCACAAGCGCCATGCTGACACGTGATGTGGCCACCGCAATTGACATAACTACCAAGGTAAGTAAACGCTTCACTGCTTCCATCCGATGTTCAGTGATGACTATACCCGGTGGCGTATCGGTGCTGTTCTGCAACAGTAGTTTGCACTGAAGGTGCAAAGTATATGCCGAAATGCGCAGCACTACGCACCAGTCGATTAAGTAGTGTTAGCATATTGTTGAGAATACCTGTAGAACCAGCCACAACTCGAGTCCACATATGCAACAGAAAGAAGAACGATTATCCTATGTTGCATCCATGGAATCTCTGAAATGTTGCACATAAAGCAACGGAAACTATTCGAAGTAAACTTTTAAAGGCAAAGGACAAACTGAGTAAGGAAGAAACATCCGATGTAGTTCACAAAATCTCCTGCAAGGATCGTGACAAGTATTATGTTGGCCAGACTGGAAGAAACCCTGGCACAAGATTGCACGAACATAGTCTGGCCATCCGCCGCCACGATGAGAAATCCTTAATGTTAGTACACATGGATGCCGAAGACCATAAGCTCGATCGGGAGAACGTTGAAACACATGGAAGAGCAAGAAACCGCAGAACGCGTGAGTTCCCCAAGCCCTGGCATTCTGGCAGGAACTCAATCAACAAACACCTGGAGCTGGTGTCTATGAAGTTCTGCAGGTTAAGTCAGCAATAGACACCAGATCGACAAGTAGAAGACGTGACCACTCGGCCGACTCACATGAACCAATCGAAAGCTGGCATTCGAAGCAGGTAACAATCAATAGTCATTCGAATCTGGCATTGGTTTGCGAGACTACGCGAATCAGGACTGATAGCCGTAATGAAGATGTTGTCTAGTGTGGTAACAAAACGTCTGCAACAGAAATGCCCGGGTTGGAGAACAGGACAACCCTCTCAGTGTTGGGATAGTCACTAGGTCAGACCCAATGAGAGTTGGCGTATGCAGACTCAAGCTTTATCAGTCTGTCACATAGAAGAACTTACACGTTGGTAGAATCTGAAAGATCCGAGTAACTCATGATTATTTCGATCACAAAGGTGAAGAGGAAAGCAAATATAAGATAACCTTGGTGACGATTGTGAGACGGAGTTTGATACATAATGGTTGACCTGTCTAGTATGTCTTTGAAGCACCTGGAAAGTGCCACCCGGCGTAGCTCAGTGGGTCACGGAAGTACATAAGCCATCGCATCACACAAGGTCCGGGCTGGCCGCGAAGAACCTTACAACTGAGACCCAGAAAGTACACACACCGGACGCGTTGTTACTAGTCAAAATAGTACAGTAGGAATGCCCTAGAGGAAAATTCCGTGCTACCAGAAGCTATCAGACACCAGCAAGTGCTCCTGTTGACAAACTCCAATGAAAAAGTACAATAAATTGCCTGACTCCGGCGGGACGCCCTTATCGGCTGGTGCCTAGTCAATGAGCTTAGAACTGAGCTGACCTGAGGCTAGCGGCAAGGAAACGGCTTCTATGAGCAGGAGCAATTACCACATGGGTTCGAGTAACCTGACAGACTGTGTACTGGGTTCGCGTACATGTTCAAAGCGCAAAGACGTTTCTACGCTAAAACTACTGATTGTACAATGCTGGATGCAGGATCCGCTAACGTGGGGATATTCCGGTATTGGTGCTAAAGGGACACTCAAGTGTGGCTGTCGAATAGCGTGACATTCGCGTTTGAGCAGCAGTGTGTCACCGCGATATCTGGTGTCATCTGCATGGAAATGAGCTGCCTGACAGCTGGCTGACATAGTATCAGAAGCTACGTTTTTTCGCTACACCGCGAAGAATCCCCTAGTTCGTCGACACTGACGTTGAGGAAGATAAAGTTGGAGAAAACACCTCGTAAATAAATGTGCGGCTTATAAAGAGATTCTCTCAAACAAAGAAGAGCGACGGAGTTGAGACCTACCTCGTGGTTAGATGGACGAGGTTCGAAGTAATGTGAGGGATGGGGAGGGCCAGATAAACGCGACTCCAAATGATCCAAACGCGAAAGCATTGTGTCCACCTTTCCAGTCAACAAGGTCAATGAGTCCAGAATGTCTTGTACCACATCGCGCGTTGTATGTAGCTCTTTCGCAGTCTCTGCAGATGAGGAAGACTTCTCCGGTGTAATGGAGATACGTGGTACTGGTTTGGTGGCCGACGCAGATGTGTTGACTGCAAGGTATGGTGAGCTGCGCTGTTGACTAGCTGCAGGAAGTTTAACGATGGGCATAGAAAAGTGGGAACCTGGACGGGGATTGCTGTTAAGCAGGTGGTACACCTTCCCATATCGTGGGTACCGTTCGTTCATCATGAGAGCACTGTGGGGTCGCCGGTGGGACTGGTTCATTTGGCCGACAGTTGGAATAAATGCGGAGAACTACAAGGGATGAGGCAGCATCGAGTTGGGGGAAAAACAGCTTGGTTACTACTGATAGTAGAAAAAACACAAGTGGTGTGATAAAAGAAGCGTCCAGAAGATCATATAAAAAGGTGCATATGACAGAGTTGAGCGTCACTCGAGGATCGGAAAGTGAGGACCCAGATGACGTATCGGGTCCACTGCCAGAGCGAGGCGTCCAGATCCATAATAAGTTCATGTGGGAAAGTAAGAAAATACGAATAGCGTTAGTGCAGAATAGAGAACTCGTGGCCGGGAACAGCAACATCAACATCTGAATGGACTCACAAATGTAGCGCCTACAAATCGTAGGAATCCCCATCACACACGAGAGAATTCAAGCAGCCAAATGAATTTTCGGCAGAGTACGTCAACGTAGTGACATATAGGCAGACTACAAGGATTACACAGTGAGTGTCAAATAATGAAACGGTTGGATAGGCGATATTCTGAATTTCAGGAGTGAAACAAGAGGAGAAAGGTTTATCTACCCAAACCGTGGAAAATCAGGATGGAGCGAACTAAGGACATGGTAGCGAGTAGCGAGCTTGACACACAACGTCTACAAGAATGGACATTGCCAAAGAAAAGTGTGCCTACCCGGTACCAAGGCATGTCTTTAAGGATCACAAGCTTGCCTTGTAATCTGAGGTAGAGAGTTCCAGACCGCGTATGGACCGGACGACGTTCGTAGTATCCTTGGCCGAAGCGCGACTAATGGTGATTGCGCGACAGTGAAGCGTCGGTACTGCGTACAAACGTACTAGTAAAGCCAGTATTAACCACTAAAACGGAGGGTCAGTGGCGAATCTGTACCTAACCCCCAGATGGACTACCTGCTCAAAGTTGCTAGGTGGGTACAATATGTCGAGCACAGGTCAACGGAGTTTGTGAATTGTGGTCACTGAATCATCTGTCCCGAAGAACCGAACAACCTGAGCACAACGTCAAAGCCAGCTGATGCCCAATACTCAGATTGTAACACACTGGAAGGATATCGATTGCCAGATTAGTGTTGATTTGAAATCGACTCCCATGAACGACTGAACGTAACCAGCGCTGGTTGTACAGTGTAATTTAACTCACTTCTGGTTCATGGTTCGGTCTGGAATAAACTCTAGGTTTGCCGCATACTCGCCCTGCTCGTTCTTCCATACTGGGGATTGGTCTACTCTCTACTATAGCAGAGTCAAACACAACAGATTTGGCGACAGAAACCCTTCCAATGTGTCAATAACCAGAGGAATTAAAGGCCATCCTGCATCAACAACTAACTCAGTTCAATGCGGCCCAGAAGCGATTAATGGAAAACTTCATGTAGCAATTCAGCATTCAATCATCATTTGCAGTCCCAGAACAACATGCAACCGAAGCAATTGTAAACAGTATCACGGAGTTTCACTGTGAACCTGATGCTGGATTGATTTTTGAGTCGTGGTTTATACGATATGAGGACACTTTCAAAATCGAACTGAAGCACAAGGATGACGCATGACGATGCCTGGTAATACTGATCACATGCGATACTCAAAGTTTATTCTGCCAAGGAACGTCAGGTATCGCACTTTTGATGAAACCGTATGCCAACTATAAGAAACTTTAGGTGAGTGTTCTTCTTTGTATAATACTCGGTACCAGTGAATGAAACTATCCATACAGGAGGGCGAAGACTTCATCACTTATGCTGGTAGAGTTGATTTCGAATGCAGACAGTTCAAACTGTCTACTCCGGTTCAAATGTTCGATTTTTATTTGCGGTCTCCAGTCACACTCACACAGTGATAACAGGACCATGTTACTGAGCAAGAATGAGCTGTCACCCGATATCACACTACGGTAGATAACCCAAGTCAAGGTTTGGTAAACCTCAAGCACCCTGCATCCATGCCGAAGTATTCATTATCCAACTCCATTTTCAATATCATAAAGACTTTCCGCACAAAATTTCCTAGAACAGTAGCGTCTGTTGTAGCGAAACCACCATCCGTGTGCTGGCAGTGTGGTGAATGGCATTTCGTAAAGTTATGCCCCTATAAGAAGCACAGTTGCTCATTATGCAACCGTCGCGGCCGCAAAGAAAATGAATGCCGAAAGAGGAAACGTGTGCGAACACCTAGAAAAAGATGTTGATCGGTCAGTTGCTCCCATAGGACCGAGCCCGAAGTCAACGCAGTGCTTGCAACTACTGATCCAAACTGTAAACGCCACCACAAATATGTGACTGCGGGAATAAACGGAAGAACGGTTTGTTTACAACGATGCGGCGTCCGATATAACGATGGTGTCGAAAAGTACCTGGAAGAAACTGGGTTGGCCAGGATATTGTCGGACTAATAATACGGCCAGAAATGCACACGGCGGTAGAATCAAATAGCTTGGTAAATTTAATTTTGAGCTGGCGATTTTAGGCAAGCGATCTTGGTACCATTTATATAGTTGGCTGTAAACTCGAATTCTTGGTACTAACTGTATTGATCATTTGGAACTTTATAACATGCCTATCAACAGTTTTGCTCATCAACACCTGCCCAGATCCTGAGAGGGTCGAATTTGCCCGAAATATATGCAGACATGTTGGCCCTCTTGACTAAATTCAGTGAAGTTTTTACGGATACCCTTGGATGCTGCTCGAAAACAAAAGAAATGCTTCATTTTCAGCCGGGTGTCAAACCAATTTTCAGGCCGAAAAGACCAGTCGCATATACGGCCTGGCCGATGGTTGACGCCAAACTTAAACACCTAGAAGAAATCGGAGTCCTGAAGCCGGTTAAATATTCTTTTTGCGCGGCGCCAATCGCTGTAGTAAAAAAGCCAAATGGGATTGTCCACATTTGCGCCGACTATTCCACAGGACTGAATGGTGCTCTCGACGACCAACATTATCCTCCACCATTGCAGGAGAACATTTTTGAGAAAAGGAATGGCGGCATGTGTTTCGCTAAACTTGACATATCGGATGCTTAGCTACAAGCTGAGTTTTCAGAGGAGTTCAGGACTCTGCTCCCTATCAACACCCACCGTGGTCTGTTTCAATACACTCGTTTACCCTTTGACGTTAAGACGGCCCCAGCCATTTCTCAACAGATTATGGATACGAGGCTTAGCGGATTGGAGTGGCTGCCTATCTTGATGATATCATAATCATTAAATAAACGAAATTAGAAATGTTCATCCGTGTAGCTGCTGTCTTGCAACGAATAGTTGAATATGGATTCAGACTACCAAAGGAAAAACGTAAGTTCTTTTTGAATTCAATAGAGCACCTTGGGTTCATCACTCAGTCAGTGAACTGACCATGTGCTAGACCCGCTGCCTTTCGGGTGTACATTTAACCGAAAGCTTTGGCTGAGGATCCGAGTCGTTCTCCTGTCAGGTGTAGGCGCCCTAACAGTATCCTAGTCCATCATCTTCGGAGGTTGGGAAGTGGTCGATGACCCTCTTCCCGTAAAACCTAGCCATGGGAGAAAACCGGGCTAGGAGTTATAAGCTCACAGCTCGATTAGCGTAGAGCACGAGTGCCACGCATCGTCTCTGACGATGGGAGGGCACCTCCGGGTGTTCAATGATTTGCTACTGCCCGCCTCAAGCCAGACAGGCCCTGGTCAAATTGGTGCAAACCAGCCAAAACAAACCTGCGCCTCACCGTCGTCGCAGGTGCAAATCCTACTACGGTCGCCAAACGTGTATGAATCGTTCCAGTACTTCAAAGGCTGCATGTGACGGACGTCAAGCAGATCCCAATCTGTCTCTGTAATCACATTCCTGAGCTGGTTTTGCCTCCCACTGCCTTGTGAGTCAGGCTATTGAGCCCACGGCTCCGGGCGGAGTCCCTCAAGCTAACCTCCAAATCCCCCACTGACTTTTGGGTTGGGCTATAGAGCCAAAGGCTCCGGGCGGAGTCCCCCAAGCAAACCTCCAAAGCACAACGACCACCTCGCGTGCGATTGTCCACCAATGCAATCGTATGCCTGCGCGCAACGCACTCAGCATCGGGTGCTGGAACATGCGCACACTACTGAACCGGAACTCCAGTGAGAGCCCGGAGCGACGCACTGCACTCGTCGCGATAGAACTGGCACGTTACCACATCGATATTGCGGCGCTCAGTGAGACTCGGCTCTCTGAGCAAGGTAAGTTGCATGACGCAGGTGCTGGCTGCACATTCTACTAAGTGGGCGACGCCGTCTCTACACCACGTGATCATGGGGTCGGATTTGTAATATCCGATCGCCTTCATGGCCAGCGGGTGGGTGAACCAAGAGGCATCAGCGCGCGACTGACGACTGTTAGCCTACGACTCGGGAGAGGTAAGTTTGTGTAGTGTCATAAAGAAAACAAGTGGTGGAATGTCCAGGAAGTATAACTTGGCTGGTGCCAGAGTATTGCCAGAAAATATTTGTAACTATGCACAAAAGTGGAACATAGTGTTGTCTAAAAAGCAAGTGTTATTCTACAAGACAAACCATGTTCTGTATTGGAACAATTCGTGTCCACAATCCGAACACTGTGTTTTTGTGCTGTGGTACATTTTGTTCCTGTCGCCTTTTTCACACACAAAACCTATACCACTCATGCCTCCGGGGTCCTATTTAACCAAATGTGTATTCGACTGTAAATGACTGGTTCTGGTGTGTTTCCTTCTACTTCCGCTCGGTCTTGTATCAATACACGATGCGCTGTGGTCTTCGCTTTTTCTGAGTTTCCAAGGCGGAATCAAGCAGGTGCTCAGTCCTCCTCGGTAGACCTAACAGATTATGGCGACGGAGGTACCCTTGATCACAATGGCATTCCCCCTCGAGTACCTGAAAAAAATTTTGTCTGAGCAGCAGCAGCAATTTGAAACTTCCCAGTTACGTCTTATTGAGACCCTCACACGCAATTTTTCTCTCCTACCTGCAACAACCAATGTTCCCTGCAAAACTTTGGTTGATTCCCTTATCAACGGCATCACGGAGTTCAGCTTTGACCCTGATTCTGGG